CCTTTTACAAAATAGATTGTTAAAATGGTGGTCCAAACATGTGTTTATCTTAAAGCTTCCTCTCCAAATCCTATTAAAATGACAAGGAGTTTAATAAAGGAAAACCCCACAAGAACAAAAGGAATAAGAAAGCAGGTAATAGCTTTGAGAGCTGCCAGCCGCGGCCTGGGAACAGGAAGTGGATGGGTAGGAGCTCGCAGGAAACGGGAGCCGGAAAGCCTGGGGCAGGGCTCGCCCACAGATCCCACACGCGCACCCTGAGCGCGGGGTCGGCTGCCACTAAGTCTGTGCGACAAACAGCCAGAGCCCAAGGCCCCTCCCGGACCCCACGCTCGGGGCACTGCCCGCTCCAACGCCGGGGGGTGGGGCGGAGGAACCAGGGCCTGGCCGGGCCAGGGGAACCATGCTGGGCCCAGCAGGGCTCTGGGGACGGCTATGTTTCTGCCGACACTGCTGCTAAATGCAACAGGACAGACACGGGGAAGAGGCGGAAGTCCATCCACCCCCAGCCCGCCACCTGCCATGGCTCCTCAGCCTCATGCCCGGGTTCCTTTCCAGAAAGACAGTGGCACAGCAGGGCAGCTAACATCTCTTCGCCATGAGAGCGAGCGACATCCAGGTCCTGCCTCCAAGGCCCACTGCCAGAGCTCGTCTGGGCAGCCCGTGGAGCGGACCATGGAGCGGGACCACGGAGTGGCCTCCACGGAGCAAACCACGACAGGACCACAGAGCAAACCACAGACGGGACCACGGAGGAAACCACGGACAGGACCACGGAGGAAACCACGATGTTAACTGGGTTCTAAAAAAGTCCACCTTTGGTTAATTCCGGTGACAGAGCCCTTCCCCTTCTTTCCCATCACCAGCTCCACATTATATAACTTAAATGACATTTAAATTGTGTTGCTATCAAAGAAAATGGGCGAGAAAACCAATTTCTGCGGAGGACAGAGACCTGCCCCGTCTCCGTGGGCAGCGAGGATGTGCGTACTGTCCTAACAGCCTTCTAAGCTGTCCGCATCCAAAGACTGCACTGCAATCCGACCCCGAAGGAAAGCCCAGAACCGGATCAGAGCCTGCAGGGCCGAGCCTTAAAGCACTCACCCGTGGGCCGCAAGAATGATTACCACGCAGCCCCCGGCTGTCAGCCAGCGGCCCTGACCTGCTCCCCTAGACCAGTGGTCGGCAAACTCATTAGTCCACGGAGCCAAATATCAACAGTACGACGATTGAAATTTCTTTTGAGAGCCACATCTTTTAAACCTAAACTATATAGGTAGGTACATTGTTATTAACTTAATTAGGGTCCTCCTAAGGCTTAGGGGGAGCCACACTCACGGGGCCAAAGAGCCGCATGTGGCTCGCGAGCCGCAGTTTGCCAACCATGGGCCTAGACCAGCTGTGGGCAAACTACGGCCCGCGGGGGATCCAGCCCGTTTGAAATGAATAAAACTATTGAAAAAAAAAGACCGTACCCTTTTATGTAATGATGTTTACTTTGAATTTATATTAGTTCACACAAACACTCCATCCATGCTTTTGTTCCGGCCCTCCGGTCCAGTTTAAGAACCCATTGTGGCCCTCGACTCAGAAAATTTGCCGACCCCTGGCCTAGACGGTCAAATACAGACACGACAGCGGTCAGCACAGCAGCCGTCCCTGTGAATGCCCCGTCCTGAACCATCAACATACAGGCCGTGTAACAGCTGCGTCCCATCAGCCACTGCGTGATGAGGTCGTGTCTGATTGGTTAACTCTTGGCAGCAGAGATCCTCATGTGCAGGTATAAGGACCTGACTTCTTCATTTTATTTTCCTGTTAATCCTCACCCAAGGACACTTTTTCCATTGATTTTTAGAGGAAGTGGCAAGGAGGGAGGAGGGAGAGAGGGAGAGAGGGAGAGAGGGAGAGAGATGAGAGAGACAGAGAGAGAGAGAGAGAGAGGGAGGGGGAGGGGGAGGGAGAGGAACATCGACCAAGAATCAACCCCGTGACCCTTTGGTCCGTGGACTGAGGCTCCACCACTGAGCCATACCAGCCAGGCACCTGATTTTTTTAAAAAGTCACTTGGAGCGAAAAGGGTAATTACTATTACTTTTTGTAAATCAATCAAAATTACACCCTTTTCCCTGTCGGATCAGCAAAATACAGCATCCCTCTTGGTGCGGGGCAGAGCGTCAGTGACCAGCTTCCGGCATGAGGGGCGGAGGAGGCCGACGCTGTGCCGTCTGTGAAGGACAGCCCGCGGCGCAGTCCCTCCCGAGGGCAGCCCAGGACGCCCCCACACCCCGACACCGCGGAGGGCCACACACCTTCTGCCTCCATCGTATCGGCGCGCTCCAACTTGGCTTCTCTGTGCGGTCCTTCGGCGACCTTCACGGCCACCGCTCGGCAGATGGCCCCCAGCTTCCTGTCCAGGGAGCGCACCCCCGCCTCCCGGGTGTACCTGCCACCGGAGAACAGCGTTAGCTCGGGCTGCAGCCCCCCCACCACCCCGGCAGACAGAGTGATCGGCAGTTACACCGCAGGCGTCCGCAGTGCACATTCTAACGCTCATTGCATTTTCTTGAGAGCAGAGTCCCTCACGTTTAAATTCCCGTCATTCCTTATAAAAGTCCCGTCATTTCTGAAACAGTCGGTGTCTTTGCAGCCACACCTTTCCCCGTACACAGAGTCTCCTGACACACTGCCCTAGACTACAAATGAACCGTTGGTTCTTCGACGTTACGTTGGCAGCACGTAAAACGGCATTTTTCTCTTTGAAAGGATGAGTAAGTGCGTTCTTAAACAAAATCGGTCACCTTACGAGAATTCTAGATACATTTATTACACTTCGAATATTGCTGAAAAAAATCCAAAAAACCCAGACCTTCCACCTGCACTAAAGCAAGAACAATCGGAGCACAAAACTGGCGCCTGCCCGGGACGGTGCGGGCCCGGAGGAGGCCGCTGAGGCCGCGAGCGCTGTGACGGTGCAGCCACCCGCCCGGGCCCCCCAGGGCCTCAGCAGAGCCTCAGGCACATTCTAACGCTTTCCCTCCACGTTCAGCTTCCCTTCCAGGAGCCGCTGCACAAACCACTGCACGGTCCGGCCACTCTGCCCGGCTTCGGGGGAGTGGGCAGCATGAGGCACGCAGTGCGGTTTTCTGGGAGGAGCTGGATGTGAGTGGCAGTCAGGCTATTCCAGACACAGGGAAGCAGCCTTTTAGCCCCGAGAAAAGACCAAAAACCAGTTTGCTGCAGTGGCCGCGGGACCAGCAGAGATACCTACGCTCACTGCGACCGCCACCCAATGCGCACAGAACGGCATCGGGGACCAGCACAGACTGATGAGAAAGACCTCGTTCCCCAGGCGACACCTGGGAAAGACAGTGGTGACTTCCCGTCAGCCACGATCCAGGTCCAGAGACGCCACGGCGACTCTACTCTCCCTCGGACGTCACCGCCGGCCCGTCAGCAGGCGCGTTTCGTCCTGAACGCCTCCCAGGGCCGGCGGCGCTCTGACGGGGCCGCTGTGGAGACTCTGGCCGACAAATCCCTCACTTACTCTCCTGCCGTGACCCACGCAGTGGGCCCCCGGCTCAGAGAAGGAGCCCCAGGTCAGAGCGGGTCTCACTGCTGGATCTGAACTTACACCGACTTCCCAGGAGGCCGGGGAGGCCACCACGCTGCCGGCTGGCTAATTCCAGGCCAAAACCCAGAACAGGGAGCCGCTTCTCCCGAACCACGCGGTTCCCAGGAGGGGTTCCTGGGGTGGGGGGTGGGGGGAGGAACTGCTTGTAGGTGTGCAGATGCCACACAGCGGGCGGTGATGCAACAGTCCGCAAGGCACACCCGGGAGAATGGCGAGGCCACTGCAGACAACATTCCCAACAGGCTGCGCTTTCCACTCGGCGCGCAGCCTGGAAACCAGACCACGCAGTTGCCCAAGGAGCCGCAGACCGTGGACTGACCTGGTGATGATGCCCAGGGTGGTGGCCGGGGGGATCTGCAGCTGCTGCGGGGTCAGCCCGTGCTGGTCCAGCTGCTTGGGGATCAGGTGCCGGTGGGCGATCTCGATCTTCTCTTCCTGTGTGTACCCTGGAGGAGGGGCCACTGTCAGTCACGCCCGGGCTTCCCAGGCCACGCTTTCTTAGAACGGATGGGAGCATGACCTCCACGCAGACCCTCCGATCAGATCAACCACTGTTAAGACCTCCAGCTTCTCCCCAAACAAAACAAGCATCTGCCACGCACAGCGTTTGACATCTTCTGAATAAATCTGTCTCTCAAAGAGGAAAAAAGCTCTCACGGAGAGCTCAGAGGCAATTACCTCCTCAGCTCAGAGCTGGGTTTCTATTTTATTATTTAGTAGGAAACGCATCCCTTTCCTTTACTATAATTTGAATCATAACTGAAAAGACCTAAAGCACAAGACTGAGCTGAATAAGCAGCGGGTTCTAGGGGAGGAGCCGCACCTAAATTTTAGCAACAAAACCGCCCCAAACCAAGCTGCCCCTCCAGGTCGGAGCTGTATACATAACGGACACATTTAGAAGATGTGCGCTCTTACTTACTTAAACGCCTCAATGAGGATAGACTTACTTTGTCTTTAAACCTGTAAGGAAAATTCCCACTAAACTAACTTGGAACAAGCAAACATTAAAAAGATGAACTGAGTCGAGACAGGTTTGGCTCAATGGATAGAGCATCGGCCTGCGGACTGAAAGGTCCCGGGTTCGATTCTGGTCAAGGGCATGTACCTGGGTTGCGGGCACATCCCCAGTGGGAGTGTGTAGGAGGCAGCTGATCGATATTTTTCTCTCATCGATGTTCTGAGCAGGAAGAGGAAATAAGGGCCGCAGGACGGAGGCGCCAGGATACGGCCGCCCCCACACGCAGCTTACGGACTGTCCGCCTCAGGTGGAGCTCCAGGCAGTTATAGTTACATGACTTATTTTAGTCTCAAATATGCACAAAGCAATATTTTACTCCATCCTACTTTAAAATATCCTGTTTTAAGTATAGGAACGGGCAGGACTCACAGAAAACGAAGAAGTCCAATGATCATCCACTTGATAGTAGAATTATATTTCAGATTGATATGAAATACACACTTAGCTTACATGAGAATCTCGATATATTTAGACTTAGATATATTTAGATTCCACTCTTTTTCCATTTTAACAAATGCCCACTGATATTACATGTCTCCCAGGGAGAAATGATTCTGAGCAGTTAAAATGGGGTGAAAACACTGAGATTTACTTACTGTTAGTAACTAAAGGAGTTTTTGCAAAAAAAAACCCCAAAGCCTAGTGACGGCTGCAGTGACAAAGCGCAGGCAGACCACCCCCGCATGGCACAAAGCGCCTCGCTGCCACCGCCCCTGCTCAGCGGGAGTAAGCGCTCACTTTCCCCGAGAAGGAAACGTCCCGCTATGAGGACAGGAGGCTAAACTGACCATGTGAAGCTCTGTTCTTGACTTACTTTGAAAAAAGTTGTTTTTTTTTCTGGAATTTTAGAAATTGCTTCAAAGGAAAGTGTCTTTTCATTAAAAAACGGATCATTCTTTCATGCCAAGCTCCACCTGAAATTGCTCTGCAAAATTTATCGCCGAGACACCTTATCTGCCAGGGTGAAAGCAAACAGGCGCGTCTGCCTTCCCGACTCTGAGTCCAAACAGGAGCAGGCTCGCTCCGAGGCTCGGACGTGGCAAGGTCACGTGTGGGCAGACCCCACAGCTCCACAGGGCAAAGGGCTGCGCTCAGAGAGGCCAGACAGAAACACCCACCAGGCACCGCCCTGTGCCCCGTACCTGGCACCTGGATGACCTCCATCCTGTCCAGCAGGGCCGCCGGGATGGTGGCCGTGGTGTTGGCGGTCGCGATGAAGAGGACTTGCGAGAGGTCGAAGGCCACGTTGAGATAGTGGTCGGTGAAGTTATGGTTCTGCTCCGGGTCCAGCACCTGCGGGGGGGGCGACACGGAACCGTCGCGGTGGCTCCAGGGCACGAACTCGGCCGCGGCAGCGAGGCGCTGGCTTTGCTCGGCGTGGCTGGTTGGGAGGCCCGGGGGGAGCACCGAGCCCTGCGCCCTCCCTCGCACGCCCACACTCTGAAGAAACACGCTCAGTGTCACACTTTGGAAGACACGAAAGCTCACAGCAGCACCATGACCCTGTCAGCCTTATCCCTCCGCCGATGTCAGCGACGCGGGCGGCCAGCACTGAGCCACCAGCTCGCAGAACCAGTGCCCTCGGGGGGCGCCTCTCCCGCCGCCGGGGGAGCAGAAAGGGAGCGTGCGCAGCGTTCTGAATTCATAAGGGACATGGCGATGCGCACGCTCCTCCTGACGCTATCAGAGAGTCTGGGGCGAGTTTCCGGTGAAAGGGGGGCGCGCCGGCCGCCAGCCAGCCTCGGACCCGGCACAGGACAGACACTTAACGCGCAGGTTGTCAGTGTCAACGGGGACGTGTTAACCGGGCACGTCAGACAGCCCGGCAGTTAGATTCCTGGGACGCTGAGCCCTGGTCGTGTTCATGCTCCGAGGCCCGGGACTCTGCGCAGCGGCCTGCACGGGGCTCGAAGGAAGGTTCCGAGCGGCACTCGTGCTCCGGCCGCCCACGCGTGGCCACTTGCGCTGCATCGGCAGATGTAAACCGCGCTGCACACGGGTTCAAAACGGGAGTGAGACAGCCGTGCCCTGTGAGGACGGAAGAGCCGGCAGAGCCACGGCGCAGAAGAGGACTGGCCCCGGCGGGAGGCGGGCTGCCTTCCTAAGGACCTCGCAGAATCAGCGGCCTCTAAGCAAAAGGCAGGCGCAAGGCTCTGATGAACTCTTTGATGCAAATAAACTAGGAAAAAATGAGAATTCCTGGAAAAAGAAAGCTCTCTCAGACACTTTAATTTACATCTCGAATTGCTTCCGACTTCAGTCTGCACGGACCTGGTTCCGGGCCTAAGCCCCGCCACGCACACGCACACACGCACACGAGTGGGGAGTCCCCTTGGCCTCGCCGGGGCAAGGGGCAAGGGGCGCAGACAGCGACTCGCCCGCCTCACCTCGAGCAGAGCGGCGGCGGGGTCGCCCTGCAGGCTGTGGCCCAGCTTGT